CGCACTGGAAGCACACTGGGATCACACTGGAAGCACACTGGGATCACACTGAAGCAAACTGGGAATACACTGCCTGCCCTCTGGACCAGACTGGGAGAACAGAGCCTGTCCTCTGGAGCATACTGGTAGCACGCTGCCTGCCCTCTGGAAAACACTGCCTGCCCTCTGGAGCACACCTGGGATCACACTGCCTGCCCTCTGGAGCAGACTGGGAGCACACTGCCTGCCCTCTGGAGAATGCTGCCTGCGCTCTGGAGCACACTGGGAGCATACTGGGAGCACACTGCCTTCTCTCTGGAGCACACTGCCTGCCCTCCAGAGCGCTCTCCTGGTCCTTCAGACCACGTTCCCTGCCCTGCAGAGCACTCTTCCTGCCCTCCGGAGCACATTCCCTGCCCTGCAGGCAGGCTCCCTGCCCTCCAGACCACGCTGCCTGCCCGCACATGGCTTTTTTTAGGTTTACAAACACAAGGGCCCCGTGCACGCGCCGCTTCCCCCCCTCCTCGCCGTGAGTCACCAGCCCCGTCACCGGGCCGGGGAAGCCGGAGGCGGCGGCGCTTTCCCCGCGGTGCCGATGACCCGAGCGAGGGGGAAAAAAGGCACAATCACACTTTGTTTTTCTCTTCTTTCATCGTTCCTGTTCCTCTTCCGGGGAGGAAATGGGTGCTGGGTGGTCCTGAATGAGGTGTTTTCAGAGAGGACCCTGGCACCGGTGGGAAGGTGGGAGAGTTTAAACGCCCCCGGCTTCCCTGGCTCCCTCACCCTTTGTCGGTTGGGTTTCCTTGGATTCAAGGTGATGCCAAGCGCTGTGGTTTTGGGGATGGGTGAGATTTTAGCAGGGAGAGGCTGGTGAGATCCCAAAACATTGGCAGAGGTGCTGGCAAAAGCCTCCCAGCAGTGGTGGTGAGCATGGCGATGCCAAAGCCCCCGCGCTGAGCTCATCGTAGAGCCGGTTGGCGTTGGGGCTGAGGTGGCTGCGGTGACTCAGCAGTGCCGGTGCTGACTCAGCGGCTCCAGCCCCCAGGGAGGCAGCGGGATAGCGGGAGAGCTTGAAATTTTTGGGTAGAAAAAGGGCTATTTTTGATCCGGCGCGCTGCAGAGTTGCTGATGCCGAGCTGGTGTTTTCCACCCTGCGCTCCTTCCTCTGGCTTGGGAAAAGGGATTTCATGCAGAGGGGTCGCGTCTCCCACCTGCCACAAGGTGCTTTTCCCTGTGGGGAACGGGTCACGGTGGTGAAACCAGCTCTGGGTTTGGCAGAGGCGGCGTTTTCCCTGCTCCCAGATGGGGCAGGGCTCGGCTCCC